AGGGAGACTTAAGTTTTCAGAATTATACTCACTTTTAAGGGTTGCCTATGTGGTATTTGATTTGTGTGGTTCTTCAGAATTAGTGTCATATCAGGTGAACGCATTAAAGTTTGGATGGGCAACCCAAAGCATTTAATTAAAATTTGGTAGTTGATCTTAACTGCATGGCAAACATATAGAAGTGCATTAATTTTGTGGACAAAGTTTTGTTTAATAAACATTGGGCAAGGTTAACATATTTTTCTCTTGAGGGTTCATATTGTTGTCTTAAATGTTACCAGAAGTTGTAGCTATATTAAATCAGCTACATTTTGGCAATGGGGTGTTGCCAGTCATGAACATAATTATGGAAATACAGCTTTGTTAAGCTCATTTCTGTAGTACTATACACAAGTAGTGACAGTCATCAACTATAACATTGTTATTTAAACAAATTTTGACAGAACTGGAGAAAAAAAATAAGAAATATCCTGCAGTAGATGGTATTGATATATTTAACTTCAGCTACTTGCCTTTTAAAGACTGTGATGTAGTAGTTTCATTAAGCAACTGTAGTACTCTACTGCTGAAGCTTTGTCTGTGTCTCCTCCTGGATAAGAGGACGGCAGAGGGAAACCTCAAGCCTGGCTGAGGTCACCCAGCAAGCTGGTGCTGAGCCAGGCCCAGCACCCAGGGTATCAGCACCCTGTTTCCAAGGCTCTGCTGGCATTGATAGGAGGCTTCTCTCTACTTAAATGTAAATGTATTTTAATTAATATTTTTGTTCTTCTTGTCCCTTTTTATCACCTGGATCAGGTAAAAGTGCTTATGAAGTGAAATGGAAGGCATTTACTGTCATAGGAAATGCAATATAGTTACCACTCTGCTAAAATAAATCAAAGTGATGAGTAAATTAACTCAGCTGAAAGTACTTACAAAATGGTAGCTGTGTATGAGGAAGTAGATATTTGAAAGAAAGGGAATTCTTAGCTGGAAGATGATTCAGCTGAATACTATGAGAGAATACTTTTGCCACATGTTAATACCCCAGTTTTTGACCATCATAGTCTTGCATATAAATCTGTAATAGAAGTCCAGGTCTTGAGGAGTGGTGCCATTTTGCTTCTGCTGAAGGCTAGTTAGCAGGTCTCCCCAGACTTTGTTCTGTAATGTCCTAGAGCAGGACAGGCTCTGAAAGGGAGGAGAAGGAGCTAGAGACAAGTGAAAGAAGTTACTTCACCATAGTAATTTTTTTTACTTCCTAGCACAGATCTCTGGAAAAGCCTACTTCCCATGCATACAGAAAACCGTTAAGCACTTAGTAAAACACTTTCTTTTTTCTAATTGTTATATATTCTTTGACAGAAATGCATCTTTTTTCTGTGGCTTTGAACTCTCACCTGGGGTGTGTTCTTTGCTTAGTAGGTGTACTCAAACTGTCCCTAATGAAAAATCTTTTCTAAAGATTATAATTAGTCAGTACACTTACCTTTATGCCTATATAAGCAGATGCCTGTATAAGTTAAATAGCTGCCTGCTTTCAGTCCATTCTTCCTTTGAAAATTCAGTTGTACTTTTGATATGAATATCAGACAGTATAAATGGAATGCTGTTCATTTTTTTGTGTGTGCTTTGCCTTCCTTGAACCCTAGGGCACGTGGGGTTCTGAGGAAGATTTCATGTGATCTGACTGCCAGCAGTCCCCCAAAAAACATTTAATCTACCCTTGTATTACCAGCTCCCAAGCAAGCCGATCCAGCCAAATGAAAGTACACGTAGCTCATTGTATAGACTATAGTACATGTATCGTTCCGATCTTGAACAGTAGATACTTGGGGTTTTTAGGGCTATTACCCCAAAGGCATGTGATGTCTTTGGTGTCAGCCAGGTGCTATGTCAACACTGCTAGCATAAGGCAGGTGACATTAAAAGAAGTTGGGTAGAGACTTTGGTGTGAAACTCCAAAGCAGACAGTGTAATTGAAAGGTTGAAAGAACTGATGAACTGAAAGGCACTGAGGGAGGAGAACCATGTGTTTCCATCTCCAGGTTGCTAATTACACTTTCATAGGGTTGTGCAACTGGGCAATTCAGCTCTTGAATGGAGAGGCAGAGGTAAGAAGTCAGTTCAAGGTAAAAAAGGAGTTTGATAAACTACAACACTGGTTGTGGTTTAGAAAGATGATGTTGGGGATGCTTAAATTTGATTTAAGCAGCCTCAGCTGTCTGTCATTCTCTGAGCTATGACAGTGTAGTTCTCTCTATGATTACATGAAGAACCAGAATTGGTCCCAATCTAGCTAGTGAAAACACTTCTTGCAGGCTTTTTTCCCCAGGGATTTTTGATGCATTGGAATTCCAGTCCGTCTCTCACTACACAGTTGCCTGAACTGTCACAGAGGAAGGGTGATGCAAAAGTGAGAATAAGCTGAAAACCAGAAAGCATTGAAACTGGAATAGCTGCTTAACAAATTAGTATGAAATTATATTCTCTCTCTGTCAGTGTGCTGTGGAGTGCACTATCTGTGCTTTCTTAAGGAAAACTTAACATCTCTCTTTTTCTAAAAACTCAGAATGAATAGACCATTCAGTCTCATCTCTTACTTGGCTTGTACCAGTCTCTGAAGATAAAGTAAACCTGTAGAAGGATCAGACTTTTTTCCAGGCAGTATCTGTGAATATTTCTCTTGAGTGTTGATGTTTCTGAAGTATCTTGAAGTGTTCAAAAGCCTCTGAGAGAGCTTTTGATTACATAGCTCCTGCTTATTTATCATACCATCTGTCCACTATCCAGACAGTTATATCTTAGCAATGAAGTGATGGTCTTGGCTTGCTGTAATAAATTTTAGGGGATAAAACATACTTTTCTACCTGGTATGCACTTTTAACTTGCCAATGTATGTTAGCAAGGTAATTGTTAAGAATCTATGCTTGCAGAGAGGAATTTTGTCAGAGAATGGGCCATATGACTTGGTAGCTGAACTTTTCTTTCTTGAAAGCCTTTGGTATACTCGGGTTGCATTTCCTTATGGAAAAAATGTATGAGAAATGCTTAGAACAACCGGGTTAATTGTTAGCAGGTGATTTTGTTTGGCCCTCTTGCATGTGTGGCTATGAAACAGGTACATAACTTACTGGAGTAGCTTGGCCAGGTTACGCTAACTTGGCTTGCTGATGGTTGCGTTCTGCAGAACTGACAGAGAATATGATTTTCTGACAGACAGTGCTGTAGAATGAGGTTTGAGGCTATGAGAACAGGTTTGCTGATAGCTAGACTGGCTGGAATAGCCAGTGCAACTGAAGCTAGATGGCTGGTTTCCAGTGGTGCTAGCAAATTAAGGAGTTGGAGGGACACTGGTAGAAAGGTTGTAGGGTGGCGGTCTACATTCAGCTACTGCAGCATGATAATGCCTAGTTCCGAAAGACCTGTTAAATACTCTTGTTTGAAGTTTTAATTTCTACTATATTTTCAGTACAAAATAGTTCCAGTTGGTAAATGGCTGTAGTATGACCATTTCTTTTTATTTTTGTTACTTGTCCCTAATTTTTAGGTCAGTGTGTTTCATACTGAGAAACAGCAGATCTGAGGGAAGGGTATACGTTAGATATGGCAAGTGGCAGTGGTATATAGCACCTTTAAGCAGCAACACAGCTGCTGCCAGCTTGTGTCTACTTCTAGAATTCCATGAAAGGCTGCGACATGGTGCAGACAGCAAATAGCCCGGCTGCTTGGGAGCTGTGGTCATGGCATAACGGGCATAAAAGCCTTTCACCTGTCACACAGGGGAGATGGCAGAGGAGGACGTGTGACTTTGGAAGTTTTAAAGCAGTAAAATTTTCCAGATGAACTATGACAGATGTTTCTACGTACTGATAGCTTAATTATTAATTATCAGTGCAGTTAAATCTTTTGCATTAAAAATAATATAGATTTATATCTGTGACTATTTCTTGGAGATGCTCCAAGCAAAACTAGTATATCCAGGGCAACCTCATACGTATGTATGAGGGCCTAATGCTTGCTGAAAAGAATAAGGAACACACAACCTCTGTAGTACACTTACTGCTTTTGTCTTCTAGAAGTAAGTTATTACATTACTTTTTAACTGTAGGGTACAGTAGATAGTGTATACTTTTATAATTTTCAGGATTTGTTGTCTTTATGACCACAGAGGAAACAATATTATGTTGTTTTAAGTAAATTAACCTTTTTATATATCCTTTAAACAGGGCGCTTACTTGCCAAGTCTGAGGCGGGTTGCCTGTCCTTGATATCTCAGTATATCACACATGGTCACTTCATGTTTTTGGATTACTTTCACAAGCTCAGATGGCAAACAAATTTTACATTTTGATATTGGAGATGGGGGAGATCTTATTACAACTCAATCACTAACCAGTTTGGTGGAATCTCAGCAAGAAATTACTGTTTTGCTTCTGTACCTTTTCAGAACTTGATACACTTTTATTGATTTTAATTCTGCTTGCTTATAAATGCCATAATCTTAAGTCTAGCTATAGTCTAAATAATTACCTGGTCTACTGCCCATTTTTACAGAAAATGCATTTGTGATCTACTGTATTCCATTCCACACTTCTTCATCCTTCAGTTCTGTTAATTCTTTTTAAATAACTTTGTGCTGTGAAGACATTTGTGAGGAAAATGTAGAAACCTCTTTGATTTTAGAAGAAATATCTAGCATGTACAATTATTTGAAAAATGTATGATTCAGAATTGCCCATTAGTAAAAGTCAAAGATGAATTTGCATGCCCTTCTCTTTTGCCTTTCTTGTGCTTAACAGAGTGCCCAGTTTGTACATTTGTTACATGCCTCTGTTTCTTTGGACTCAATACTTACCTATCCAAAAAGGAAAAGTCTTTGATTCAAGTTGACGAGCTAAAATCTGAGTAAATTTTGGTGTGACCTGTAGAAACATACTTTATCTTCCTTCTCTAGATATGGTGATAAGCTTCTGATGTTTTTTCTCCTGTTCTTCCCACCCCCCTTCCCCCATTTCCAGTGTTCTATTTAGGTGAGTGTTTTAACTTTTTGAGCCTTTTCTGTTCCTCCAAGAGTACTTGTTCACTGTTTTAAGAAACTCTCAGACTTGGAGTGCTTTTCAAAGCTTCTGTAAAGTTCCATCATATATAAAGTTTATTTTGCATTTCTGTGAAACCTTTTCATCCATGTGAAATTAATCCATTCTGTAAATATGTAAGGTAACATTTTTTGCAGTTTTTATTTGCTGTATTATGTTGTTGAGCTTGTTTGGCTTAAAAAGCAGAAGTAAACAGTTCTTATAATGTCATGTGATGGCTGGTCTTTTTCCTTGATTTTGTGCTTTTGTGAATAGTAAAAGTTCAAATCATTAATCGATGGTCTGTCTTCCCTTTTAGGTCCTACATTGCCTCGACAGAATTCACAGCTTCCCTCTCAAGTACAAAATGGTCCATCACAAGAAGAATTGGAAATCCAGAGAAGGTATGATAATATAAGTGAACAGCTGTTCAGCTAAAGCATGTAGTAACTCCTCACTAATGATGAGAAATTAAATGTCAATGTCACTAATGATGAGAAATTAAATGCAAGATTACTCTCTTGCATTAGGGCAGCATTTGTATGCATGCAGTTTTCAATAATGCAGCTTTTCTGTGTAGAAAGTTTGATCTTAACTTGATCCCTTGTTGGTGATCTCCACCCATTCAGACATTCTCCACCCAGAATGCTATTGTCCTGCCATGAAAGAGTTGAAGATCAGATGGGAAGCCTTGGAAGATTTCACTGTTGTCATTTTCAATCACACTCATTAATTTTCCAGTGGCTGTTGTGTCTGCAGTTTTTGACACATGCTTATAAAGAAGAAAGCAACAAGCAAGGAAGGAAGTTTTAACCTTTACAAGTAGATAATTAAATCATCATGGAGACTGGCAGTTTTTCTTCTTGAATGTGAATGCACTAGATCAAAATGTTGTATTGGAAAGCTTGTTGACCTTTATAATATATTAGTTCTTCAGCAAGAAAACCTTATAAATTTATGGAGCCTTTAGTAGCTTAACTTTCAGCTGCAGCAATACTGGTTATATCTGTGCTGCCTTCAGGGAGTAGTCCATGTGCCCCTGACTAGTTGGCACTCCTCCAAGCTAAGCTGTTTCCTTCAGTGTGAAGCCACTGTACCCTGTCCCATGTCCTGTAGGATATTTTTCAGACCTGCAGCACTTTTAACATGAGGGGTTTTCTTGAGTTCCTTTTAATAATTCCTATGTATCAATCATGTGCCCAAGTTCTAGGAACAAACTTTCTAGGTGCCATATTCCTGCTCTGGTTGCGTGGCAGCATGGGTTAGTGCTATAGGTTGAGTGGGATATGGGTATATGAAATGGCAAAGTCTTCTAAGAGTTCTATCAGACTCTGTTAAGTGAAAACAGCAAGACCTTGAGCTGTCTCAAGCATACTGCCTGTGGTGCAATCCTGGATTATTTTACTGTCAAAGTACTCCCAGGAGATTAGCTGTTCCCTTCCACAAGGGATGCTGGGAGTGATTTAGGTCACATGCAGTACAGATGCAGGGAACAGAATCCTTGAATACATAGTGGTCGAGATTCTTGGTGTAAATGCACTTAATAGCTTTCAGTGGTAACTGGAAAAATGTTTTAATGTGCTGGGTCTAATTGGCAGTGATTTTTTTTCTATTTCGGTATTTTGCATTTGGTCTGTTTATGCAAAGGTGAGCAGAAGCAGATGGCTAATTTAGGAATAATTAGTATCAGATTTGATAAACTAGCTATATGTGGTGAACAAAGTTTTGGCATCAAAATTGGTCATACTTGTCTGTCTCTTCTGCAGTATGTTCTTGAATCTGAGCAGGGATTGCTTTATCTGTAAGTTCTCTTCTTTAAAAACAAGTAGCAAGAAGCTCATTACAAATCTGTCTGATGTATGTACTTGCAAGTCTGTTGTCATGATAAAGGTCTTTTATGTCATGTCTTTTGGCAGACTTTTTAAAAGCTATTTCTCTTTTGACATTTTTTTCTGTTATACAATATTGGCTTTTAATATTTTTTTTTACTTCCTGTCTGTTCCTTTAGAAGGCTGTATTAATTGAAATCTACAGTGCTGAAATACTTTCCAGAGAAGCACTGTAGATAGATGTCTTCAGAAAAAACTGCTGCCCCATATTAAGAGCTCTGCAAGTCTCCCTTGAATTTTTTTGCGTGTAAAGGACATATCTGATGGCAGTCTTATGGCATCACTTTTTTATTTGATCTGCGTGCTCTACTTGTTTTCATCTAATATAATGTCCTCTTTGAAGTCTGGTCCTGATGTTAATTTGTTTATCCCCTAGGAAAGGACAGAGAACTGGAATGAGTGTTTACTGATGTTGCTAGCCAGGTTGTGGAAAGACTATTGCCATGGTGTCATTAAGCCTAAGAACAGCATGTAATTTTGTTAAAACATTTCACAAATGCTTCTCCAGTCTCTTTACTACTGTAACTACATGATTATAATACAGTTCAATTAACTTTACGTTAGAACTTCTCTTCTGTAGTAACTGTCTTTGTTTTCAGACAGTAATAACAATACTCTTACTACCATAATGTAGAGGGTAGTAAATAGTTGGGAAGGAAACATTTAGGTACTACTTTTAACATACCTACAAGTGACATTTTTAGTCTTAGTAAAGGGTAAGGCAGTGTGGGCAGAACTGAATTATGTGGGGAGCAGTAAGACTACAGGGAATGCAGGAGAAGGGAGTAAATGTTACTGTGTAGGAAGAAACATGGCGTTTGGGATGGATCAGTAGAAGGGCAGGCTTTGTGAACTCTGTTGCTCATGAAATGTGTCTGTGGCACGGGGATTTTGTTTAACCATGTGGCTTGATAATAGTTGTCTTTAAGTGCCAGTCTCATATCCCTCCCCTTAAGTGTACCTGGATTCAACAGTGTTTGACTGATTCTCATGTTAAGTTCAGGAAAATGTTTTCTGAAATTATTCTAAGCCTGAGAAAACAATCTGCTTACATAAAAATTGAAGTTGAAAAAGGGACCCTGTGGAGGTCATCTAGTCTAACCCTCTGCTCAGAGCAGAACTAATTCAAAATTAAATTATGTGGCTTGTAGCTTCAGGGTTTTCCTAGGCACAAACAGAAACATTTCCCCAGAAATCTTTTGCCAAAGGAGTGACTGGAGAGCTTTGAAACTGATCAGATGTTTTCCTTTGCTTTTATAACCAGTGTTCAAGAATATTGAGGAAATTGAGAACTGAAGAATTAAATTAGATCATTGCCAACAAAAGTGTATTATTTTGGTTCAAAGATTTTTCTCAATTTTAGAAGGGATTTAGATACCTTACGTTTTGAGTAAAAGTGCTAAAGTAGTAATATTACTTTCGTTCGTTTTGCTGCAGAGCTTGTTACTTGAATATTTGCATAGTTTGCTGTGCGGTGATGACAGTCTGTAAAGCTGCTAGGACCAGATGTGCAATCTAAAACACTAAAGTTTTTGATGCCAAGATTACATGTAAGGTGGTCAATGAAATAATTTTGTCTGGTCAACTGGTAACTTTGTTACTGTCTCGGAAGAAACCTTAACACATAATGTATGCCTTCCCTGTCAGGGAGGACTTGAAGAGAACTGTTACTTTCCTTAACTTGTGCTCATTTAAGTATAGTAATAACAAGCTTTTAAAACACTCCAGCTTCCATTTTCGATTCTCAAAAATGAAGGAATTTTTTTTGTTATACGGGCTATTTCTCATTTTGTCAGTGATAGTCAGGCAGTGTTTATAAATTCCACTGATTGTTTGATAATGAGCTAACTTAAGTTGACATACATATTTGTTATTAACCTCAGAGTTACTTAATGTCAAATACCATTTTAAAATATAAGATTAGTTTATGGCATGCCTCTGTGTGCTACTTGTGCATGTAAATTTACCTTCTCTTCCAGCCATGATAAATAAATTGTCGGAACTATGAGTCACTGAGTTGGTATCTAATATGACACTTAGGAATTTAATGAGTTAATGTTTATAAATAACTTCAAAATCATCACTGCTTCATAAATAAAGAGACCAAGAACACCAGAAACAGAGAAAGGGTATCAGTTGTAAGGAATAATGAAGGTATACAAGCCGCCTGTTGTCCTTCAGGGACGCAATGGACCAAAACTTGACCGACTTCTGTCGTAAGTATTCAAAATGTTAGAAGTTTGTAAAATGCAACAGTGGAATATTAGCAGGTTTTGTAGTTGTTAAATACTTCAAGTTTGCTTACAGTTTTGGTTTATTTCATGGATTGGGAAGATAGTGTTAAAGAAAACTTGGTGTGTGACTGTGCTAAAAAGTAGTGGTACGGTGTGGTTTTCATAACATCTTTTGGAAGGCTTCTTAGTTTTAGGTAGTGCAAGTTCCGAGGCTGACAGGGGTAGCAGTTTCTTACTTACTGACAGACTTAAAGGAATGCTTTTTATTTTACAGAATAAAAGTATTTTTTCAAAGATTTTGCTAATCTTAATTTTTAACTACAAAAAAAGAATTTCAATTTTCCCCCTGTAAACTAGTAATTATTACATATTTAATTACTGAGCTGTTTTGAAAATGCGTGGAAATACTGGAATTAACGGATCCCTTTGTCTATTAGAATTTCTGTATCTAATAATGTTTGGCTTTATAGTTGCCTCTTCAAGTCTTTATCATGGTGGCTGGTTGCTAGTTTTTGCTTGACTGATAAAAACTTTAGTTCTTCTCTTACTCTCTTACTTTTTTATTTCCAACTAATACAGATTGAGCTTATAGCATAAAAACATGTTATTAGACCTTAAATCTCTTTTGATTAAGGAAATGAAAGCCTGATAGTTTGACTTTGGTAATGTGAAAAGCTTTACAACTACTTTTGAAGAAAAGAATAATTAACCAGATAAAACATAGCCCAGTAAACTATAAAATAAATAATATTTTCTTTTGCAAAAGTAGGAATGCTGTTCATGCGGTGTTTCTGGGCTTTAGTAAATCACGTGACAGATCCCAAGAAGGAATTTCCTAGTTAAAGTGGAAGAGAGGAGTTTTGCTGTGGGAGTGTGAGTAGCATAAGAACAGGCAGCTCCTCCTGCATCAATGGGACTGGGAACAATCAAATTTTATTTGGTGTTTGAACAGAGCAAGTCCTTGCTGCTGCTGAGAGTTGAGATACGTGACTACAAAGAACAGGAGTTGGATGATGTAGATTCTGATTATCAAAATGGAATGAGAAATAATACATAGCAGGTATCCTGTTTTTAGACATTTTTAGGGGGAAGAACCACCAACCTGTAGTCCAAATATTAGGATTAAGACATCCTAAACACTAGTATATGGGGAAAGTCAGCAGTGAAAGTGTTACATGCAATGGTGATCAATAGGGGAATGCTGTTTGAGCATTGGAAATAGCTGTAATGGCCTCTAGATTTGATTAGTGTTTCAAAATCATGATACACTTAAATGTCCTG